AGGTACCCAAAGCAAGCATGATTGAATGTGATTCGTAAATGCTAGGAATCTCCCTACGAGAACGAGGGCGAACACAAATCCTTCCTTCGAAGCTCAGGAATTTTGCCGACAATGGTGTGAGTTGACATGCGTTTGTTGAATGGGCATTACGACAACAATTTCAAGCTTGCAACAGGATATAGACACAGACACTGGCATAGATAATGTTGTCTTCCGAAATACAGAAAAAAAAACTTGCATTTGCAGGCAGATCCAATTGAAATATAACATCGTGCAACCGTGAAAGCACGTCTACCAAAGCATAGCCCTCTCCACCGCATTCTTTCTCCAACTCTGGAAAAGCAAAATTCATTTGATGGCATCAAAGACCGCACAGAAACGACAATAATGGAACGCATGAGTTTTTTGCTCTTGAATTGCGATGAATATGAAAAAAAAACTAACTTCGGCAACATGAAGCGAACGAGTCATTCATAAGAATTTGCAAAATCTTCTCAATGTGCTTAGGTGTAGGTTGTCCCACACATTCGTAAACAGTCGTCTCATCAATTGTCGAAGAAGCCATTGCCACACTCTAAGACGGAGGTTAATAGCAGAAGTTGAAACCTTCACAAAAAAAGCATAAAGTGCAATGCCACACCTGAAGCACGTTCAGAACACGACGCATATCACCCCCTGACAGCTTCAGTAGCGCTTGTTTACCGTCTTCAGTGACCGTAAGCTTCTCCTCCGCAATCTGAAGAAGGAACACATACTTTTGCGAAACTCTATATGAGATGGAAAGAGTGAATTACCACATAATTAAGCTTCGGCAGGATGTGATCCATAGACAAAGGGGCAAATCGAAATCGAGTACATCTGGAAAGCGTTGATAAAATAGAAATATGAAGTGAAACGTATCATATATCCCTTACCGAGACTGGATGGCAGGAATTATAGAAGAGAGGTAGTTACAAATTATACAGAAACGAACATTTGAGGTGTACTTTTCTATGACTCTGAAACTCATATTCTGAAGAAAAAAAAACAAGGATAGGGACTGCGAAGAGCGTACCGCCTCAGCGCATTCTGTGCATCCTTTGTCATGGCATCAGCTTCATCAAGAATAACAAACTTCAAATCTGTCGTCTCTTTATCTCTCTGGAGTGATTTCGTTTGCGCAAATGTTATGATCTCGTCCCTGCAATGAGCTCAGATCTCAGACCTGATATGGAAAGCCATATATGTTGAAGCCACACAATTTATCAGAACAAATTATGTTCCTCCGGAACTAGTTTTGCTACCCCTTTCAAACAGGACCATCCAAATCAAGCAAATAATGGCAATTCTGTGCAAACAAAACAATATTTAAGAGAATAAAGAGCCAATTGGCTAGTTGAGGAGTAATACGAAGCACTAGAGCATCCTAGCTTTAAAAAGTCCCTTGCCAGAGTGATATCAATGTAAATGACAATAAAAATGGGCATCGCATCTGGCAGACCGTTGGCAGTGTGTTCCACTTAATATTGTGAAATGGCTATCCAGTCAAAT